CCCAAGAGATCTGTCGTCAATGTTAAGGAGGGGGTGCGGGGTTGTTGCTTGGATATGTACCCGAAACAGTGTATGTAGGTGGTGCAAGATTTCCTCCATCCACCGTACTGCCTGCTTGCAAGTGCTTCAGAGTGGCTGCCGTCAGCTTGACTTCTCGCATTGCATTGGTCTGGGCAACCATGATCCTGGATTCTGGTCCAAAAAAATACCCAAGATGCCAGAACAAGAAAAGACGGAAAGCTGCTTAAATCTTCTGAAGGTATTTGTTGGGATTGTGGTGACTTTGTAGTCTTGCAAGATGTTTACAAGTGCTTCCGAAAAGAAAACTACTTTGTTTTGCTTTTTGAAAATGATGGTGAGGGTAACTCTATAACAAGGACCCAGGATCAAGAGGGTGCCGGCAACCGTGGCGAAGGAAAGCAGCTGGTTGATTAGTACACCGCTGCGCTTGGCCTCCTGCCAGCAAGCCCGGCTTGCAATGCTTTGGGAACTTCAGATTGTCGGCTGACATGGCTTGGACTTCGGAAAGAAGGTGGAAGCTTCAGGGGGCCCTGGAAGTAAGCTAGGTCCAAGGGAGTCCAAGGCCAAACCCAAGACCTTAAGCTCAAAGCCAAGGCTTACAACACCATTCAGCGCCTCCATTCACAAGAAATCCCTGCATTCGAGACAAAGTCAATGCGAAACCCCAATTACCCTAATTAAGCCTGAACTTCAATATCGAAACAGGTGCCTCGGCTTCTTCGACTTGTAGTGCACTGTAAGCAGCCACCGCAAAGGGCAAGATGTGCTTCGCAAGCATATAGGCCCATTGCAAGAGCTTCCGCCAGAAATCCGTCGCACAGCGGGTGCAGATGAGCACGCTGCTGTCTGAGATGGAGTAGCCCTGCGTGCAGTTTGCACAAGCGCGACCTTGATAGCCTGGCGCGCACATGGTCGACAAGTTCGTGGAATTTCCACCAGGACATGCTGCTGGGTTCGGGCAGAAGATCGTCAAGCTGATGTCTGCCTTCTGAACCATGTGCCCTGGCGTCATCTTGAACTTATCCGCGTAGCAGAAGTCACTGTGCGTCGGGCATGGCACACACTTGGATTGTGTGTCACCAGGGAGCATTGTAAAGTTGTCTTTGCAAACCTCTCAGACCATCTGCTCAGGGTCAAGGGTGAAGGGTACTTTGGGGCTTGGGTCTAGGGTTTTGGGTTTTTGGATTTGCGAACTCTTCGGAAATCCGTCTACCAGACTGCCTCTGGGGACCTCACGACCGACATGTATCAAACTGGGGACTTCTATACCGAACTTGGGACCCCCAGCAAAAATTACAAGTTTTGGCTGTTTCTTCAGGATTATACTAACCAAAGGTTAGCCGTACCCCTAAGACTCGAAGTTTAGGGTTCAATTTACGAGAGAGCAATGCAATCAAGCAGCCAAGCAGTTGCTGGAATCATCTCCCCCCTGAATTCCGGTGCCCGGTGGGCAGTGCAAGTGATCAACATGCGGCTCGGGCGCCACCAAACTGCACCACCTCAAAAGAGTGCAGTTCACAGTCCCCTTGGCTGCAAGGCACAAAGCATGTGCACAAAGCTCTCAACTAAGGACTACACTGCTATCCCTGGAGTGTCGTTCTGAGGATCCCTTAACAGTTACAAGGTCTATTGCTTGAGGGCTTGGGGAGGCTCTTGGGCATGCGGCTGCGTGGAGGCTCCCGGCCATTATGCCCATGCCGAACTTCCGGTTCCTGCTCCGCAGATGAAGATCTTGGAGCGCAAGCTTGCCTCAAAAGGAGTGGATAGAAGAAATATGGACGAAGCAAGCACCAAAAAGTGAGGCCTTCCTTCGGAGCAACTGGGCCCCACGCCCTCTGAAATAATGTCGAAGTCCACGCTGCGAGGCTCGAGGACAGTCAGGTTAGAGACATTCAGAACAGGCGATTTCGTGTAGAAGGTGCCTGCGTCGCCATCCGTGCCACAGCGGTCGAAGGAAATGTCCCTGAGGCATCCTGACATTTTGTGACACGGGATCTGTGGCAACAGCAAATACCAAAGTCGAAGGCTAGTGGTGCGCTTGGGGTTACGGTTTAGGGCTCAAGGTTAAGGTGACCTCAACCCCTCTCTCCACCCTCTAGTCTTAGACATGTCTCCGGGCACTGTGGATCCAAGGTAGAACCCACCACCACGCTGCCCAGCGGTGCAATTGATGAGGCTCATGCGGCCACCGCTTTGCTGAATGGTGCCATGCCCGCTGCTGATGTAGAAACCCCCACCGCTGCCGCCTATCCACACATGCCCACACATGCAAGAAAGAAGCCTTCTTGCAGCCTCAACCAGGGCCTCCAGCAGTGTAAGAACCTCGTTAACAACGTTAAAATACAAAGCTTGGTTTCACATCCCCAAAATGCTGCTTAAATACGATCCTAATGCATCACCAGGATTATAGTTTCGTCACACTTGGCTACACCATCTTGCGGAGGACGCGGAGTACTTACAA